GTGAGGCGGCCGGGCCGGAAGCGGAGCGCGGCGATGGGTGAGAAGCTGCGCGGTGGGGCGAGCCCGGAGCCGGTCCTGGCCGGAAGGGGACTGGAAATGACGATGAAAAAGCGGGCGTTTGCCTGTTCTTGCTGTGCGCTGAGCGAGCTTGGATTTAGGGTTGAGCTTTTTAGTATTGTGGCTGGAGCACCTCTGGGACAGGCTGAGAGAGCTGGGGTTGTTCAGGTTCTCTGGGGAGACCTTAGAGCCCTTTCCAGTACTTTAAGGAGACTTATACAAAAGAGGGAGAGCAGCTTTTTACACGGGCAGATAGTAGTGGGGCAAGGGAAAACGGTTTTAAACTAAAAGAGGAGAGATTTTAATTGGCTATTAGGAAGAAATTCTTCCTTGTGAGGGTGGTAAGGCCCTGGTACAGGTTGCCCAGACAAGCTGTAGCTTCCCCATCCTTGGAAGTGCCCAAGGCCAGGTTGGGTGGAGCTCTCAGTGGAAGGTATCCCTACCCATGGCAGGGGGGTTGGAACAAGATAATCTTTATGGTCCCTTCCAACCCAAACCTCTTTTATGAGTAACTGCAGTGAGCTGTAATTAAAAGCTTATAGTTGGTGTTTAAAATGAAATAAACTAGTCCAGAGCATAATGGTCTGTGTTTTCCCCAGTTTTCCTCATTCCCCAGAACATCCTACAAGAAAGGATGACATTAAAGCCAGAGCACATCTGCATAGAGGACAGTGAAATTAAACCTGTCTGTTGAAAGGCCTTAAACTGGGGAGAGGCAAGATGAAACCTCCACTGTGTGTGTGACCATGCGCCTCTCTTCTCCTCAGAGGGCTGATGGTGATGAGGAGACGTGGACTATGGCCTGAGATGCTGCACAGGTTCGAGAGGAAGAATAAAGTGCTGAGGATGGTCATTGTTTCCAAAATTTCTCAGCTCTTTCAGTTTTAATCCAATATTTTCTTAAATTCAACTGTTATGTAACACTTAAAGTCATTGTATTTTGCTTTTGAGGGAATGGGAGGGGGCTTGAGGGATGATTAAAGTGTTAGGCTGAGAGATTTCCTAATTTGAGTGTTAATTTTGATGAAGTTATTTTGCTTAAATTAACATCTTACTTTGGAATAAATTGCTGGCTGGCTGATTTCTGGTCAGTGCCTGTCACTTGTGCGATGTGTTCTTTGTGCTGAGCAGTGGAGCAGATTGCAGCAGCCTCCTCAGCGTTGTGTGGAGTGTGCTTGTATTTGTTGGCCTTTACCCACTCACAGCACAACACTTAGCACTACTTTCTTCTTTAACATCAAGCACTTATTCCCATTGACCACAGCTGTAACCAAGTCCTCTCACTTCAGATTTATCACAGTTTTTTCAGTCATTAAAGGAAGACATAAGGGTTTGCAGTCATGGCAGGGAGCGGCAATGCTGAGCAGAGAAAAGGGGTTTTGCCCATTGGCTGGTGCCCAGCATCCCTCCAGGGCCCTTCAGCTGAGGGACAGTTCTCGAGGGTGCCAATGAGGGGCTCCCCCAGCAGCACCCTGGGCCTGGTGGGAGGGTTGTTCCCACTTGGGAAATTGGAGCAGCAGCAGCTGTGCTCCCTCTCAAAGTTGCCTTTGCTTGTGGCTCCCCACCCTCCATACATTGAGCTCTCAGATAAACATTGCCATAATCAGATGATAAAATTTCTGGGCCACTTGCTGAATTTGGAGAGCTTGTGGTGTGTTCTCTTTTGTGACTGAGGGAGATATTTGTGTATAAGTGTTTAGACCCATACAATGAGCAGAATATTTGGAGTCAGTGAAGGGCCAAGCACCAGCCAACTCTTCACTTACTATGTAAATAGCAAGAGAGGCAATTGAACTGATGAACCTCCTGATTTCCAAATGACCTTATTTAGGATAGCCCTCATTTACTTTCCTCATTAGTGCATTATTCCATGAAGCATTTACTTCTGTTCTAGAATACAGCTGTTAAGCAGGACACGTTTTTATTTTTTATAAAAGGCTTTTCCTATTTCTGTACTGGTATGATTGGAATGACATGGTTTCTTCTCCCCTGCTGTTGTCCAGGTTGTGAATCAACCCAAGAATGGATAAATCTAAGCAGCCTTATGTTAACCAGAAGACCAGCCTTGAGAAGTTCAGTCCTGAAATTATTTCTGAAATTGAGAAGCTCTTTGCAAAGAAATTTACTTACACTAAGCCAGTGAATGATGAATGGAAGCTGCCAGATCCCAGCAATGCTTTTACATGTGATCATGTGGAATTTCACTCACTCCTGGCTCTGAAGGACTCAATGAATGAAGTGAAGAACCAACTCAGTGATAAGAACCTTGAGGATTGGCATCGGCACACCTCATTTACCAATAAAGCAGGGAAAATAATATCTCATGTGAAGAAGTCTGTAAATGCTGAGCTCTGTACCCAAGCATGGTGCAAATTTCATGAGATCCTGTGCAGTTTTTCTCTTCTCCCAGAAGAAGCTCTTCAAGATGGAGAACTGAATTCTGTCCACCTCTGTGAAGCACCTGGAGCTTTTATAGCCAGCCTTAACCACTTCTTGAAGTCCCACCATGTCCCTTGCCACTGGAATTGGGTAGCTAATACTCTAAACCCTTATCATGAAGCCAATGACACCCTTATGATGATCATGGATGACCGTCTGATAGCAAATACTTTACCTTGGTGGTACTTTGGCCCAGATAACACTGGGGATGTGATGACATTAAGACATCTAACAGGACTTCAGAGCTTTGTGAGCAGTATGACCACAGTCCACTTGGTAACTGCTGATGGCAGCTTTGACTGCCAGGGAAATCCAGGAGAACAGGAAGCTCTCGTCTCACCCCTTCATTACTGTGAAACAGTCACTGCTTTAATGATCCTGGGCACTGGAGGATCCTTCATTTTGAAGATGTTCACTCTGTTTGAACACTGTTCTATCAACCTGCTCTTTCTGCTAAACTGCTCTTTTGAGGAGGTCCATGTCTTTAAACCAGCCACCAGCAAAGCTGGAAACTCGGAGGCCTATGTGGTTTGTCTTCGCTATATGGGCAGAGAAAGCCTTCATCTGCTTCTTCCTAAAATGATGCAGAACTTTGGAACAGAAATTATCAACAAAGCCCTTTTCTCCCAGCATACACTACCAGAATCATTCCTTAAAACACATGAAGAGTGTTGCATGTTCTTCCACAAGTTCCAGGTAGAGACTATCTCTGAGAATATCAGTCTTTTTGAGCACATGGAAGAAGCAGAGCAGATGAAACTCAACAAGTTAAGAGACTGTGCAGTACAGTTCTTCATGCAAAAGTTCCACATGAAACCCATTGGCAGAAGTAATTGGCTTGTCAAGAAATCCCAGGCTGGTTGCAGCATGAATGCAAAATGGTTTGGGCAAAGAAACAAATATTTTAGTACATACAATGAAAGGAAGGTGATGGAAACCCTGACATGGAATGATAAAGTGGCAAAGGGCTATTTTTATCACTGGGCTGAGGAACACAGTTTAAATAATGCTGGGAACACGTGCATCCTGGAAGGATCATTTTCAAACCTTGAGTGTAGCTTTTGGTACATTTTGGAAGGAAAAAGATTGCCAAGGGTAAAGTGTTCTCCATTTTGTGATGTTCAGGTCTTAGAAAGTCTTAATGAAGCTGTGAAAGAGTTGGGTGGGGGGAGGCTGAAAGGCAGATCAATGCTGCCTTGTCACTCTTGTGAAGTTCTTCCTGGGGAACTCATACTGGCAAAAGTGTCTGATCTTTCCAGGTGCCATCAGGAAGTCCTAAATGAAAGTTGTAGTGACCAATTCAAGTGCCTTGTAGTTGGCTTTCCCTCTCTCTGTGACACAGAAAGCCAGCCCAATATGGAAATAAAGCCCGTGGACTCAGCCACGCTGCTGACTTTCACCTTCTCTTTGCTGTATGATGGAGAACCAAAGTACCAGCAGCAGCTTTTGGAGTGTGTTCTGCGTTCATTGGCCCAGCTGGCAGCAGGAGATGCATTGGTTTTGCCTGTTCTCTCCTGCCTGACACGCTTCACAGCTGGCCTGGTGTTCATCCTGCACTGCTGTTTCAGGAGCATCGCGTTTGCGTGTCCGACCTCGCGGGAGCCCCTGAGGACCGGCGCCGCTTTGCTGTGCGTTGGGTACCGAGGCGTCCCCGCGCCGGTGGTGGAGTATCTGCAGCATCTGAACGCACTGATGAGCTCTTTGCTGGACACAGACTCTCCCCAGCAGGTTCTGCAGTTCGTGCCCATGGAGATTCTCCTCCAGGGCAAGCTGTTGGAGTTCCTAGGGGATTTAAACGCAGCCATTGCAAAGAGACAGCTCCACCTGATTGTGCAGGCTCAGCAGCAGCAAATGGCTAGTGGCATTCCACTTTAAAATAATTCTACAACTGCATGAGTTGCTGCTGCTGGACCTTGTTTCACGGGCAGGCAGAAGGTGTTAAAAACATTGTTCATGTGAATGTAACATTAATGCAAAAGTGGTGTGACATTGAAAGTGCCGGGAGGATGTTTTGAGCTATCAATCCTACTTGCACTGTATTTTCTCTGTAGGAAATAGGAGAAAAGAAAGCCAGACCTTGATTTCTGGCCACTGGGCTGGGTGTTTTAGGATGCAGAATAACATGGAATCCTTGATTCAGTGGAAGCAAGGGCTGACAAGTGAGCATAAGCCTCAGAGCCTCTTGCTATCATCCTCAAAAACTGTCTTTTGACATCCCTTTAATTTACAGTTATTTTCATTTTTAATGGTGATGTCGAGGAAATCCTGTGTAAGTTGCCTTACCATTTTGGATGGTATGAAATGGTGGTTATGGGTACATGTCCCCATTTGCCATTCTTAAACAAGAGCCTCTGAATTTTCACCTCGTAGCCTTTGAATATCAGCCTCTACTTTAGCACTTCAGTGAGTGAGGACAGATGAAAATTTCCTTGCCAAAGCCTGATAATGGTTTCTCCATCTCATTCTTGCAGCTGTTTTGTGAATGCCATGCTGATATCTTGAGTTCCAATTCTCTGCACTTCAGTCACTTGACGGAAGGATCAAATGGAGCTGTTTATGCCAGAGAAGTGCTCAGCCTCTGGTTGTTCATTGCTTACTCTTCAGGCAATAATTTGGATTGCCATCAAGCCCTCTCTTGTGACTTCTCATGGGTCCAAAGCTGAGCTCAATTCTCAAGAATGAAATTTGCTAAAAGAATTAGCCAGTGGCTGTAGACACTTAGGCTTGTAACAAGCAGAACCTTTAAGAGACATTTAAACATAGGAAACTTCCATTAGCCACAAGAGGCTCATATAACATGCAGCTGCTGGAATTTGCTAGCCTTTCCATGCTAAAAATCCTTAAAACAACAGCTCTGAGGTATTACCATCTGAACAAACAGTTCATCAGTTGTGTGCTGCCTTTCTTGTGCACACAAGTGTGTTCATGTTTGTGTGGGAGCCCTCAGGGTTATACAGCTGAAAAGCTTTTGTGTTGTAATTAATCAGTGTGTGCTTTTGGTGTGAAGGATGCATATATTTTTTGAAGTAGGAGAAAAGATGTTGATTTACATGGCTGTTGTATATTTTCATTTTATCAACAAATATTCAAAGAGTTAATAGACCTTTTTTAAAAAAAGAAAGGAAAACAAATGTTGTTTGAAAAAATAAAGCCTTTTATGTTTTCAGTGTTGCTGTTTACATGTTTCTTTACCAAACATGGAAGAAATCAATGCAGCAGGGGAGCCTGGGAGGGTTTAATTTTTTTTAATTTTTATTTATTTTTTTTTTAGCCAGGCTTTCCTCATCTTGCCATTTGGATCCATCCTCCATGAGTGAAGGGTACAGTTGTCTTCATTTCTCTCTGACTTTAACTTTGGAGTTTACCTGCTTAGAGAGACTCTGCTTGCAGATGTGGTCAAAGCAGTGGGGGAGGCCTGCACACAGTACCCTTGGCCTTGTCACTGAGCCTTGTAGTCCATGTCCCACTGTGGTTGCTGTAACCCTTAGCAGAAGGATTTTCTTAAGGATCTTCAGTTTCTCCTGGCTATGACAACTGCTCTGGTAGGATAAGGCTGTTATACACTGTACTTTTGTCTGCAAAGTCTATTATTTATTCTTATCCAAATGTTCTAATTGCTTGCCTTCACTGAGTGGTGTGATTAAGAAAAAGCTGTGTGCCTTATTCCTCAGGGCTGGCTCTGCTGCACTGCCAGGGGTTCCAGGTGATTGTCTTTGGGTTGGCTATCCAATTTGTCTGGAGACTGCTTGCTAACTCATTTTGATTGCAATTATTAATGCTAATGTGTTTTTCCCAGTGCCTTTCTCTTTGGAAGTAAAGCACCAAATTAGAGAGCTGGGGAGGATCATTCTGTGTCCTAGAGGTGTGAGATGACACAGGAAATGAATCCTGTACCAATAATTTCATTTCCTTACAGCTAGTTGGTGTTTTTTTGGGAAATCTTTATGCAGAAGAGGAGTTGAATGGATGCTGAACTGAATGACAGTGTTGCCTCTCTTGCTTTTAGTGAAGCTTAAGACTTTGGCTGTTAATGTCAGAATGTTCTTCAGGGATGTGAGGACTTCAGAAGCATCCTTAAATCAGGAGACTGGGTTGGAAGTGGTTGCTATAGGGATTGTCTGGTTGATTTTGGTAGAAATACTGTTTAATGTGTTTATGGTTTTACTGAATTATAGGGAAATGTAAATGCTCAGAATTGTATTCAAGCTTATCAAAAGTTTTATGAAATATTTGCATTCCCAATATAACAATATAAAAACAGCGCCTAAAGACATGAAATGGCAGATTGGAAAGTAAAAGGAAAATATGGATGTCTTAATTTTGCTGCTACAGACCTTAAAAGATGCATATGCAACTTCTGCAGTCCTTAAAGTCAATTTATACACTACATTATTTAGATTATGCATCTGATTTGAATTTTGATAGATCTTAATATACTAGCATGCCTGGCAGTTTTTGAGTTTAAATAGTTGGTATTGAAAGCAAAGACAAAGCACTGAGCCCAAAGCAAATTAGCTTTCTCCCTGGCTGAACAGCTATTTAACAAATGTCCTTTTCCTGTCTTGTGTCAGGTCCTCTGTGTCCCCCATGGAGACTGGGGAGATGAAATTTTACCTGTAATACAATTTGCACTAGAGCACCACAGTAAATGGCTCCTTTTATTAAAACAATAATACGAAATTGTATATTAAAATAATATTTTTTCCTCTGTAGGAAACTTGAATAGATTTATTGAAGTGCATCATCATAGTGCTTGGGGATGACTCGCTTGTTAAAGAATTGATTTATCTAAATTGGGGGATAGCAGGGAGAAGAGCCTGTCACTTGCTGGTGAATTGATTTGTTTAGATTGGGGGATAGCAGGGTGAAAGTGAATCAATATTCAAAACTTATTTGTTGCTGAAGCCAGAGATCATTATCTGGGTATCAAAGAGATGAATGAGCAAATGCTGCCTGATATAAATGAAAGCTCATGCCAAGGTAGCCCCGGGTCCTTGGCTGTCAGGTACCTGTGCTTCAAAACAATGACCCTGTACCAGTGGGTAATGAAACCTCAATTAAGACTAAGGAATAAAGGGACTGTGGTGAAGTGCCTTAATTTAAGTCTCTAGAGAGTTAAGGTGATTAAATACTTGCTTTATAATCAGTTGACTGCCCCAGGTTGATGACAGAGCACAATTCAACACCATTGAGTTGAAATGTAATGAAATCTGTCTTGGGGTCACAATTAAACCTAATTTCAAGGTGGCTGCTGAATAGCTGCACATCCCCACAAATAAGGGTGTGCTCTGACAGATGAGTGTTTATCAGAGGAATGTGGGGCTGTCAGAATTGTGAGCCCTCTGAGCAGCTCCCTGCCTTCACTACTGCAGTGATGCTGATGGTACCCAGCCATGCAGCTGGAGCAAATCATGCGACCAGCTGTGCAGACAGCAGGCAGAGCCCTGCATGGAGCAGATCAGCAGCACAGGATGTGTTTGGGAGTAGTGCAGCTAGGGCTGGGGTGGCTGTAGGATTCCTGGCTGGTGGGAATGGTGATATTTGGCAGCAGAAGCTTGTTGTCACACCTGAAAGCCACATAACAGCTCTTTGAACTGGCATTGAGCATTAGCACAAACTGGAAGGGACCTGGATCCAGCTAATGTATTGGGAATTAAAGGAAAGCTAGTTCAAACAACTTACTTTTGCTCTTTGGGAACACTGGAGAGGCTTGTCCACACCTAGGGTGAGCTTGCACTTTTTGTGGAAACACCGGAGGAAGCTGGTGTTTAATAACTGTCAGCACTATGGTCTTAACTATAAATCACAAAGTAATTGATTTCAGGGTGTTAACAAAATTTGGATTTATGGAAAAGTTCAGTTATGCCTAAGATGCACAGTTAATAGCACTGGCGCTGAATAAAATTCAAATTAACTTTGTTTCCATTATGAAACAGGGTGGTATTAGCCCATAAATTTATATTCATATAAGTGGTTTGGCTCTTAATTACGTGACTAGCTTTGTGAAAGTTCTTTGCTTGAAAGCTGTTTTCAGACTTGGAAACCTGTTAAAAGCTCTGGATATTGTCCAGCTTTCAATTCCCAGCAGTATCACTGCTCTGTGTGTGAAAACTCAAGACCAGACTCTGACTGGATTTGCTCAGACTTTTTGGAGGGAAGACTTTGAGTAGGAAATGGATTAAATTCAGATGTAAATTAACTCTGACTAGTTCCTCACTAGATTACAGAGGGGATAGGCAGGACTGCTACATAGGCTGGATGCTGGGACAATGGGGTTTGCCAAAAGGGTGCTAGAACAGAAGTTACAAATGTACAATTGTAAATTAGACAAATTTGGAGTCTTCTCCATGATCCTGATGACAAACTGCTTAGTGAGTGTAACAGGCCTCAGAGCTGGCTTGGGGCTGAGCACATGCAGCAGCTGAGAAGACCTATTTATGTTTCAGTAACTGACCTCACTCATCACATCACTTTCTGCAGTTTTGAAGTGACCCCTGAAGGAAACAGTGACAGCAGCAGTCTCAGGAGCATGAGTGGAAGTAATGAAGCAGTAATTAGCAATTAATAAAGTGTGGTGAAACTTTTAACTGCTGTGCTGGCCTAGAGGCCTGGTGCTGGAGTGGAATAATCCCTTGGAAATCTACAACTCAGATTAATTATCATAATTTCCTTTGGACACCATCTGCTTTTGGAGCCAACTTGTATATTTACTTTTTCCCTTGAAGGTAGATGAGTTTTAAGTGGCTTTTCACAGCAGAGATTAAATTGAAGCTGGGATCAAGATATGGGAAATGAGATGGCCCCTGTGTCTGATGTGTCCTACAGACACTGTGAGGGCAGGGTTCTGTTGGAATAGCCAGCAGGGTGTCAGAAACATGTTGGAAAAACATAGACAGAACCTTCTTTGTAGTTGGCAGAGGGGTGGTATCTTTTCCAGGGGGACGTAACTTGAAATTGTGCTGTCTCTGTGCTCTTCTCTTCCCCTTCCCACCTCAAGCCCTTCTGAGCCACATCTGGAAGATGCCACCTTTCAGAGAGCGTGAAAGGCAAGAATTGCTAAGGAGCCCTCCTGACCTGAAGTTGCCACAGGGTTACCAACAACAGGCAAGCCCAGGTGAGGCCAGTAACGCTGTCTGAGGGAGAAGGATCCTGTGCCTGTGGGGATCACCGTGGGGATGCTCTTTTCTCCTCAGAGCTGTTGCACTGCGTTGCTTTAGCAGGTGTGTGCTGGGTTATGCCATGCACTGGAAGGTCAGCTAAGGCAAGAAGCTAAACTACACCACCACTCCTTGCTCTCCTAAAGATGGGCCTGAAAAATGGTTAGATCATGAAAACATACAGCCAAACACCACCAGCCTTCCCCTCATTCCCCACTGTGTTAATCATTCATGGCAGGAGCTAAGAGCAAGTCAGGAGAGTCAGGTGAGGCTGAAATAGCTTTTGGGTTTCAGCTATAGGAATGTCCAAAGGACCTGAACAGAGCAAAACACTTTTCAAGCAGCAAAGGTGCAAAAATGGGACACAGGAATTTTGGAATATGTCAGTGCAATTTTAAACGTCACTCGTTTGCACTGAAGGCTTGTAATAATGATTCTATTTTGTCTTGTGTAAATCAGTTTTAATTAATAGAGCAGATGTACCAACAATGCATCTGGAAATTAAATGGAGGGAAAAAGAAAAGAGGCAGCTGGTGCTAGTGGATGTAAATATTTGCTTTTTGGGAAGTGAAGCTCTGCAGAAACTTCAGGCTCCATTTCAAATTCAGAAGCCTGTTTCTTATGCCTGTGGAGATATATGGAGCAGAAAAAATTAACAAAACCATAATGCTGCTTTATTTGAATCTAGTGCATGTGATGTAAGTAGCCCAAGTTTTTGGAATAGGGCCAACACATGAAATCTTGGTTCCTGCTGAAATATTAAGACTTTGTTGATGCAAGGTGCATTAATTCCAGAGGAGCTGTCTCTGTACCAAGAAGCCTTCCCAGGCCTCTGCAGTACAGTCTTGGCTTATGAGCACAGACAAATGGAAATGCTAATGTTTGACCCTTACTAGAGCAGAGTGAGGTGCAGTGATGCTACTGAAATAGGGCCTGACTGGCAAACCAAGTGTAAGAGGTCCACATATCTGAAAGCTGCTGCTGGGGAGGTG